AATTGTTATTATTGAATCTAGAAAGCTGGTATCGCAAGTCCCAGGAAAATTATATTCATAAACATTTTATAAAAATATTTAATATTAGTTTCCATAAAAATCATTAATATATGGTAAAAGTTGATATAACATAAATTTTTATTATATTAGGTTTAGTTTATATAATAATAAATAAAGCTGATTTAGGATAGTTGTTATTTAGATACTTTAAGGAATGTCATCTGAATGAGGTAGAATAGCACTTCTACTGGAAATAACAATCTAGATAACACAACCTATGCCATGTGTTAAAAGCGTGCTTATCAACTTTTAATATTCTCTATTTTGAAAAAAAATCAATTACATTATCAAATTAAAAATAGATTATTTATTCTTCATCTCATCTCATATAATATAATATTTATAATTTTAATTGAATCAAACTTAACTTCATATTTATAAATTCCCATTCTAACTATATTACTGTTTTAATTAAGTTACAGGAAAATATCGAATGGTATATTATTATTGTTAAGCCATCAATTTGAAATTCAATTAAAAGTAATTGACGCCTCAAACTTCTAAGAATTGTATCTAATTAATTGATTTATTAATTATTTACTTTTTAAAATAGTACTTCTAATTTAAAATCTAATTTATACTTACTGCTTAAGGTTAACATAATACATATTGTAATAGGAAAATATATTACGAAAATTACTTTAAAAAAGTGAGAAATAACCGGTTGCTCTAGACTACTGTATCAAATTCTGCAAGATAAAGAGTAAGTTACAATTCCTATATCTAGCTCAAATTTGAAATGATATTGGACTGATAACAAGAAAAGTTTATTCCTTTCCCTTAAATTATATTTTAATATTGAAAATCCATTCAATAATCTCTTATATCTCTCATAATTCTCCTCTTTCCCCTTCAAATATAATAATTTATCTTTATCCCCTAATATTTTCAAGAAATAGTATCCAATATCTTCCCATCACATACCTCTTCATTGTTCTCCATTTAAAACCTATTAAGAATCTCCAATTATATCCTATTGAACCATATTGTTTGTAGTAGCCCTCCATCATATATCGAATCATCTTATCTCATTTTCTCCTCATTGACGATAATAGGTTTCTTTGATAAGAACTCATCTAACCTGTATATGATTTTCGTTACCTTGAGGCCTTCTTGATATGATTTGGAATAATATTAAGTTAAAAATATTAACTTACAAAATAAAAGTTTTCTAGTACTTTACTCAATCTTCTCATTTTATCAATTCAAGTTATTTGTGATCAAAAGGTTTCTTTAGTTAATGTTTTTTGTGAAATCTATCGTTAATTTAAATATGTTATTAAGTAAAGTTTATCTCTTTTCTAACCAACCTTTTTAAAATAAAAAATGCTGAATAATTATTAAAAATTATGAATGCTGATTATTCTCAAGAAGTCTTTGGTATTATATATGCTAAAATTTATTACATAGGCTTATAAAGTAAGCTAGTAATCACTAAGGTTTCGTGAAATTTTTCGAATTAATTTAAAATCAACCTAGAATTGAAAAATAATGCTTCAGACCCAAACATGGTAACAATTAATTAAATTTTAAGAAAAAGGCTTTCTCCAAAAGTTGTAAGATATCAACAAATTATCTGAAGAATTTGAAATTCGTAATTTAATGTAAAACATCTATATGATGGTTTCTTAATTATTTTACCAACAAAAATTAAATGTATTTTATTTGGATGATCCGAAAATTCCTAGAATTCAGATAAAGTTTTTAGAAGTATGCAGATATATCATTTAGTATTATAAAAAACTTTAATATTAAGATTTTCTTCTTAAAATAAATAATTTCATTTACCTTCTTCAATCAAAATTTCTTTTAATTAAAATTCTGACTTTTTAGTTCTTAATTTAATTTCTTCAAAACCGTTCTATTAGTAATGCTTGTGTATGTGTTCAGACGAACTCTACAATTTAATTAGATCAAATTTAATGAAGTTTATTTTTAATTAAATGGAATTTAAATATTTTAGAGTATCCAAAATTTTATTTATTTAAATATCAGATTCATGATGATTTTCTTATATTTCTTTATTTTGAATTCAACATATTCATTTGAAATATAAGCATTAGATCCATTATATTAGGTAGAGCATTAACAGGTGAAGATTGATGACCATGAATTTTAAGCAGCAAAATATTTTAGCTATGGGATTTGGTCTAAATATACTCCACTAAGTGCAATACCTTAAACTGGTCCAGTTGGATTGTTTGATAGTAATTGTTATCAACTTCATCACATACTTGAGAAGAAAAAAAATGAAATAAATTTAATATATTATGATTGTCTAGATTATGAAGCAAACAAAATAACAAAGGCAATAAAGTTTGTTAACAATGAAGACGAGTAGAGGGAATATGTAATTGAGATTGAAATATTCTAATATGAAAGCTTTTGGTATTTTCTTGAAGTACTTTAGTGGCCCTTATAAAAACGATTTGAAATTTTAATTATATCATAATAGTAAATAGTGATTCATAGCATCGATGAAATAAAATACCCATTTAAGGGGGTAGATCTCTAATTTATTTTTGGAAGTAGCTTGATTGTAAATTCTTCAAGAATAAAATCAATCTTAAAAGGGTAAAAATTTTCATACTTTNTTCATCATATATCGAATCATCTTATCTCATTTTCTCCTCATTGACGATAATAGGTTTCTTTGATAAGAACTCATCTAACCTATATATTCTAAAATTTATTACATAGGCTTATAAAGTAAGCTAGTAATCATTTAGGTTTCGTGAAACTTTTCGAATTAATTGAAAATCAACCTAGAATTGAACAATAATGCTTCAGACCCAAACATGGTAACAATTAATTAAATTTTAAGAAAAAGGCTTTCTCCAAAAGTTGTAAGATATCAACAAATTATCTGAAGAATTTGAAATTCGTAATTTAATGAAAACAACTATATGATGGTTTCTTAATTAATTTACCAACAAAAATTAAATGTATTTTATTTGGATGATCCGAAAATTCCTAGAATTTCAGATAAAGTTTTTAGAAGTATGCAGATATTTCATTTAGTATTATAAAAGCTTTAATATTAAGATTTTCTTCTTAAAATAAATAATTTCATTTACCTTCTTCAATCAAAATTTCTTTAAATTAAAGATTCTGACTTTTTAGTTCTTAATTTAATTTCTTCAAAACCGTTCTATTAGTAATGCTTGTGTATGTGTTTCAGACGAACTCTAAAATTTAATTAGATCAAATTTAATGAAGTTTATTTTGAATAAAATGGAATTTAAATATTTTTGAGGATCCAAAATTTTATTTATTTAAATATCAGATTGATGATGATTTTCTTATCTTTCTTTATTTTGAATTCAACATATTCATTTGAAATATAAGGATTAGATCCATTATATTAGGTAGAGCATTAACAAGTGAAGATTGATGACAATGAATTTTAAGCAGAAAAATATTTTAGCTATGGGATTTGGTCTAAATATACTCCACTAAGTGTAATACCTTAAACTGGTCCAGTTGGATTGTTTGATAGTAATTGTTATCAACTTCATCACATACTTGAGAAGAAAAACAATGAAATAAATTTAATATATTATGATTGTCTAGATTATGAAGCAAACAAAATAACAAAGGCAATAAAGTTTGTTAACAATGAAGACGAGTAGAGGGAATATGTAATTGAGATTGAAATATTCTAATATGAAAGCTTTTGGTATTTTCTTGAAGTACTTTAGTGGCCCTTATAAAAACGATTTGAAATTTTAATTATATCATAATAGTAAATAGTGATTCATAGCATCGATGAAATAAAATACCCATTTAAGGGGGTAGATCTCTAATTTATTTTTGGAAGTAGCTTGATTGTAAATTCTTCAAGAATAAAATCAATCTTAAAAGGGTAAAAATTTTCATACTTTCCTGGAGCTATTATCATATAAAAGTATAAGATATTAGATGAGCTGGCAATTATTGATTGGTTTGAATATGTGAAAACTGTTTTTCAGAATTATGAAATATGTGAATGCTAACCAAATCGAGATCAAAATATTCAAGATCAGAATATTGACTCTTAATTAACAGGATAGATTATTTCAGAAAATTAAAATTGTGATTCTTTTGGCTTATCAGGATGGGTAAAAATAAAAGAAATTATTCATGAAGACAACCAATTTATCTATCCATTTATAAAATTAGCAGCTAATTTTGAGGATCAAATTTTAACTAGTGATAACTTATCCCCTCTTTAAATTCAATATTAATTATCAGATATTTAGAATTAAATTATTGTAAAAACTTATAGCTACATTTTTCCAACAGTCTCAATTAATTTTTCTAATAATCCCTTTCTATTAGAGAAATCTTTTGATATTACTAACAGCATCAATTTATGGCATAAGATATAAATTAAATTAATAAAAAATTTATTGGATATTTCAATTAAATTTTATGAGTAGTCAACGATTCATGAGTATGGACATTAATTTGAAGTTCGTCAATTTTAATAAAGTCAATTGAAATTAGTATATGGAAATATCTAATTGTCTAAATCAAATTATTTGAATATAGTAATCCGAAATTTCCTTTTTTTAAATTGTGATTAGCAATTTTCTGAGTAAAATTGCCATTACAGTTGTTATGAATGCGACGGACCAACTAATTAAAATTGTTTATCTTGTTCAGAAGAATCCAAAAGAATTTATTTACCTGAACATAAAGTGTGTGTTTGTCCTTATGATACAATTGATGATGAAATTTGTATAAGTTATAAAGAAGCAGATTTAGAATTTATTGATGAACCTTTGGTAGAGAATTAATGCTAATATGGTTATTTTGAATTAGATAATTAATGCGAAAGATGGTAATTATTTGACAATTGATATTAGTCCTTCAATCATAACTAAAGATTTAATAACTTGCTTAGATTGTTTGTAAAATCCTAAATCTTTTAGTTAAAAACCGTAGTGTGAATACGACTTATATTTAAGTCAATCAGGCTAGACAGAAATACTTTAATCGAGTATTCCTAATTAATTACTTTTTGATGGAAGTGATATTATAGTGTAGCATTTCAGTGCTTATAGTAGTGTCAGTATAAATGATGATTAACTTTTGTACTCTGTCTTTTTAGAGAACTCAATTCCTGTTGAATTCTAATGTAATTTTGGAGATTGTTTATTAGATTTTAGTAAAAATTGCCAAATTACATATTTATCTATTATAGGTGAGTTTTGTAAATTGTGTTTTGAAAATTACTTACTTAAAGACAACATTTGTATTTCTTTAAATTAGAATAGTATTGAATATAATAGTTGTCATGCACCTTATTACAAGACTTTTACTCATCAGTGCAAATTATGCCCTAAAAAGAATTGTAAATACTGTTTTGAATATTAAAATAATGAACCTTCCTTCAAAAGCACATTATATAAAAATTTTGAAAACTTTGATACTGATTCAATGACAGAAATTGGTTGTGCAATGTGCGAAGATGGCTTTATTTTTGACTTTACGAAAGGGGAATGTTTAAGATAGTAATCAAGAATTTAAAGTTGCTTAAGATCGTTTATCAATCTGGATGGTATTGAATTATGTACGCTTTCCTCCTCTAGTGATTTTAGCATTGCACCCGAAATTATAAATTGCGAAAAATATTCCCCTAATTGTTTATAATGTGTCCTTACTCCTAAAACCAAGCTATAATGCGTAATGTGTAGAGAAGGTTATACAAGTTCTATTACAACAGGGAATTGTTATATGAGTTCATATTAGATAAACACTATTTAAGTAATATAAGGAGACATTAATGAGAAAGATGGATATGTTCAAACAATTTAGAGTTTTTTAATGTAATTTTTACCTGATTCATATTATTATTCTTACTCTTTTGGATAATTGGATGAGTTCATAATTAGATGTAAAAGCGGGTATGAATTAATAGATTATATTTATTGTAAAAAATATTGTAGTAGTGAATGTTTAAATTGTAAAAGTGGAGACTAAAATTTTATCTGCACGAAGTGCGATTTAAATTACTACAGAAACCCTATGCGAGTTCAATTCGAGGGCCAATGTCTGCCTTGTTCCAATTTATGCTTGTATTGTGAAATAAGAGATTAGGATAAAATTCTTGTAATTTCTTAAAAATATATTAGGATTTGTAATCAGACTATTACCTTCAAGAAACTTAAGTCTGTCTAAAACCAGTTTATAATACTAATATAGTCATTAACCCCTATTTAAATAATGTTAAATACTGTTTTAACAAAAGCTGTCACAATCATTTTTTATTCTCATCATATTTTACTTCTTGCATATTAGATAGGAGTTTGGGAATTCATATAGATGAGTAAATAAATTTGTAATATTGCAATCAAGTTGGAGTAGATTAAATGACTATAGATTATGTTTTTGATATTGGGGAATTGTCTATAGGTTGCTAGAATTTACGCAAACTTAATCTCTGGAATGGCTTAAAGAAAAAAATATTCTCTCTAAAGAAGATTAATATGAGAGTATTTTCACTAGATGAAATGATCTACGGTTCAAAATACATTATAAACATTACAAATTATGATTCAGTCGAATTTAAAAATATAACTTTTAAATTAGTTAATGGGTTTATTTTAGAAAATCTTAACAACAAGATTGATATCACATTAAACAATCTAAAATTGATTCAAGGCAGCCTTTCTAATATTACCATTTTCTAAACGTAAGTGTATGGAAATATTGTCATTAAGGATGTTACGATTTTAGATTCTGAATTTTCTAATTCAACTTTTTTTGATTTTTAAAACCAATCAATTTTAATATCATTTAAAATACAAAATTTGATTATGAAGAACTGTCTAATAAATAACTCAACTTTACTCAATATTGACTATATCAAGGGTATGATAATTGTTGAAAATCTCATTATTGATAATTGCACACTATTTAACTCTTCATTATTCTATCTCTTAACAGATTTAAGCCAAGTAAATTAAATAAAATTAGTAAATGTTGAAATTTATCAATGTAACTTTGAGTATTCGTCATTTTTAAAAGCTAATAGTAAGTTTGAAATAATAGCAAGCAATCTCTATTTCCATAATAACAATCTTAAAAAATCAGTAATAATTGCTTTTAATGATAATTTAGATTTATTAAGAGTTAGAACAAGTTATAACACTCTCATAGAATCTTCAATTATTTAGACATTATTACTTATAAATTAATAAAAGCTTGTATACACAATTGACGATTTTGAAGATAATTCGAGTACTTTTTAAGAATCTAGTTTGATAGTCATTTATTCTAGTCTTCAAGTCAATATGTTTATTGTTAGTATCAAAAATATAAAAGTTTAGAAAAATAACCTAGTTGATAACTTATCTCAATAAAATTAATTATTTAGATTTCATTGCCATTAATTAATAATCTAAAATGCTTAGTTTTTAAATTTAAGAAACCTCACTGTGTTTTACCTTTATGAAATTAATTAGATCATTTTTGATTCTGTAATATTTGAGAATTCTTAATAAGAACATAAAGTACCTGTCTCTTAATTTTGTGGTGATCAAGGCAAATTCTGGAATTAACCAATTTATATTACAGGTTTTTAGTAATTATCATTAGCAAACATTAAAATTTTGAATCAATTTAGTATTAATTATTCGTTAATGGATATCAGATTTAATCCTTAGTTCATTATTGATACGATAGGATAAGTAATATTAGTGAATGCAGAATTTAGAGGAAATATCTTATTAAAAAACGAAGTAGCCATTTCATTATCATTGTTATATTTATATTCTGAATATAACTTAAATATTAAATTAGAGAAATTTTTGTTTATCTAAAACATGATAAATTTATAAATTGATGAACCACTTGAAAAATAAACAAATTTATTACATGTAAGTTCACTAGACAGTGTTATTGAAATTCATGATCTATATTGCTATCAAAACTCCTTAACTAATTCAACCAACCCATTCATTACTCTTGCTGCTACCTCGATTATAATTTCTGATTTGATTTTCATGAATTCTAATTTTTTACCACAAACATTATGGTAACAATTCTATGAATTTGAACTTGAGGATTAATATAATTAACAAGAAGTGAACTCAATTATTTAATAAACATTTAAAATTTTAAACTAAGGAATTTATGTCTCAGCTTCTAATTTTAGTTGTACAGATAGTATTTTTTAAGAAATTATCGCTTAAAAATCTTCTATTTTCTATATTAAAACCCAAGGATAAGGTAATATCAAAATTAGTAACTTAAATATAAATTCTGTCTATTCTAATCTAAAAGGCGGAGAAGGTTTAGGTTGCATAAGTATAGATTCGACAAACAGCCTTTTAATAATTGATATAAAACAAATAAAATTTAATAAAGTTTTTAATAGAATGGCTGCATCATTATTTACTATCACTACCTCTTTAAAATAAAATTTTATTCGTTTAAACAATATAGAAATAAGGAATTGTTTTTCTTTAATGAATTAAATTATGCAAGTTAAATTTTCAGCATAGGTTATGAAATAAAGCGTTGTAAGTATTAATAAAGTATCAATTTATTAAAGTGAAGAATTATGGTTTTAATTCTTTTCCTTGATTGGTTCAATAACAATATCTGAATTAGGTGATATGTAGAACGAAGATAATGCAATGATTTTTTTTGAAAATTGCAAAGTTGAAATAAAAAATCTGCATGTTGAAGGAATAGTAATCTCTCCAATTATGAATTTTTTAAATACTTTGAAATTAAAACTCTCAGATTGTTAGCTTATATCTATTTAAAAATTATATTCGTTTGATTTGATACATATAACTTAAAATTTAATAATTGAATCAAAGATTTATATCTAAAAGCTAAAGATAATTAAGAGTCATACTTATAAACTAGCATTAGAGGGAATTCTAATTTTTTATGAATTGAATTATCTAATTGGAGGATGCAAATTGTGGAGGAGTACTTCAATATCAGAATAAATAACTTTTTCAGATATGATCAATTAGATTCAATCTTCTACAGATAATTCAAATTCCTTGATGTATGTGAAGAGTATTTGTGATTAAAATTCTCTTTTTCTTTAATAAATAACAATATAGGATAATGATGGGTCAGATTTTTCAAAGGGAATGATGGTTTTTGAAATCGAAAAGTTCAAAATTTTTAAAATTAATGATGTAATTTGCTTTTAGAATAGGGTGAAATAAAATGGTTGTGTCTATTTTTTAATCTAAAATTTCATTAATTCAACTCTTCAAATTAAAGATTCTTATTTCATATAGAATAATGGAACTCTAGGAGGTGCTATAATAATTTAAAATGTTATATTAGAGATGCTGAATTGTAAAATCATATCCAATTATGCAAGCTAATCAGGTGGAGGGCTGTTTTTATAACTCAAGTATTCTGATTTTTAAATAAAATCTACAATAATTACTAATAACAAGGCTTTAAATGGAGGAGGAATTTACTTCAACTAAGATGGAAAAATACTTTAATATAATTTTATAAAATCATTTATACTATTTAATAAGGCAATATAATTTGGAGGTAATCTTATTGAATCTCCTCACCATTTAGCATTATTTATCAACAACATGGAAATGCAATCATATGAGTAAGTCATAAATTCAATATTTAATCATCATTTGTTGCTTAAACCCTTTAAAATTATTGAATAAGGATTGCCTTTTATTACAAATTATTTAATGATCCCAAGTAATTAAGCTATTTCTGGGTATCAAATTTATTAGCCCTCTAATAATCAATATTTTTCTTATATTACAAGTTTTGGGTTAATTCTAAAGAATAGTTTAAATGAATAAGTTCTAAATATTCTTAATACAACATGCATTATAACTAAAAAGACCTTTTATGAAAATAGCTTGAATTAGGTGGACGAACTGATAGATTAACAAGTTTTGTAATTTAATCTAGAAAGAGATTACTATAATCTTGGTTTACTTTCCTTTATTCTTGATCCATATACTTAAGAGAAAATTCTGTTATAAATTAATGTTACTTGTTCATCATTACAGCATCAAAATAGTTTCAATTACATAATATAAGCAAAAAGCTTTAAATGCTAACTTGGAGAATTTTATGTAAATTCTGGATGCTAAATATGTTCATCAAATTAAGGATTTTACTCTGTAGTGTATGATGCAACAAAATGTTCAATATTCGACAAAACTAAATTTAAAAATATTACTGAAAATAATATAGAACTATTATAGGGTTTTTGGAGACCTAATTTTTTATCAGACTAAATAGAGGAATGCTTTAAAAATGTAAAATTTTGTAGAGGTGGTTGGGCATTTGGAAATGACATATGTGATTTAGGACATGTTGGAGCGTTATGTGAGGAATGCGATATCTATAATATAAGAGGAGGTGGAAAGTATTTTAAAAATGAATAGGATTCATAATGCATTTCTTGTTTTGGTGTTGGGGACAGTATAATCCCATTTATTGCAGCATCAATTTGGTAATTTAATTATAAATATTTAGGTCGTTTATATCAATTATCATAACCTTAAGGAGTATTGAATAGTCTAATCAATTATTCAAATGTTTAAAATTAAAATAAAGGTTCAGCAAAATTATTTTTAACCTAGAATAAGGTATAGATATCATTTATTTAAGGTCACGAAAGTTTTTTAATAAAAATGTTATTAAACTATTTGTGGATTTTTTCTGTTATATTTACATTCAATATCCAATTTTCATTTTCATTTACTTTTGTTAATTCAGCCAGCAATACATCCCACTCTATGACTAACAATCTTGATTGTTATTTATCAGATAATCAATCAATACAATTAATTTACTCGAAAATAATTACAATGCTTGCGCTTATGACATTCTAATTTGTACTTATTATAATAGGTTTTCTTATCTATAATTTCTATAAGAAAATTGCATTAAGCAATTTTAACTTAGAAACGATATCAAATACTCTACTCTACCTTTATGTTTCTAATTACGGCGGGTTAATTAAAATGTAATTCACTTTGAATAATTTTTAGGTATTTTTCCATTCTCTCAAAAAGAGAAGTTTCAAGTTAGAGTTACATACAAGGTGATGTATCACTCCTTTATGGATCCAGAGAGCACTTAATTTGGATTTTCTCTTTTGTGATTCCAGGAATAGGTGTTTTTGGTGTTATTATTCCTCTTTCCCTATTTATCGTTATGTACTTAAAGAAAGACTAACATGATAATATTTAAATCAGAAAGCATTTTTGCTATCTAATAAATGAATACAATAGTAGAAGCTACTTTTGGGAAGAAATAAAGCTAATTAAAAAGACTATCATTATTCTAATATTAACATACTTTGAAACTTATATTCTGCTAAAAGCGTCGTTGTTGGGGTTATGTTTACTTTTTTACTAGTTATTAGCCTTTAATAAGAAACCATACATACTCTCCAATTTTAATAGCAAAGATTTATCTTCAGCATAAATTTGCTCTATTACAATATTCCTTGCTGCTGCTAAATATGTAGCAGAACAAGAAAATAATTAGTTTTCATCAATCTCACTTTAAACTGTTATTGTTTTACTTTGTCTTAAGCTTTGCTATTCATTTATAAAGAGCATATTATAAGTTTACTCAAACAAGTACACTTTCTTAATCTTAAATTATTTACATAACATTTTAAATAAGCTTTCATAAAATTCAATTTTGACAAAAAAATTAAAACATTATATACTCAAATAGGATTAAAGAAATTAGAGATTGAAAACTTTGATTAATAAACTTAGATAACATCTGTTGTAGGTTTCAAAAGGCCAGCTTGAATATCAGAAAATTGTAAACTCTCAAAACAAGAATACCTAGCCAAATTGGTTTGAAAAACATTATAAATGATAAATATCTACATTTTATTATTGAAATTTATTGCTAACAATAATTAATTCCTCAAAATAAAAAAAAAAAATAATAATCAACAAATCTGATTGCAATCAGTTGTACCTTTTAAATATAGACTGATTGATACAAAAATGATATATATCAGTCAGTAAATTGTTTCTATAGAAATTTAGCTATCCTTAAATACATTATTATACTTATTATTTTTGTAAATAATCTAAACACTGTCTGAATTCTCATTCAATTATACTTATTTTTTTTCCTAATTTTAAATAAGTTTGAAACTACTTCAAAATTTCATTATAATCCTCCATTTTTTAATTGTTGCAACTTGAATTGAAATACAAGTAGATTCACGCCAATAGTTTATAATAACTATTGTAAGATCATCCTACTAGAAGCGAAAATTATCAAACATTTTACAAACAGATAGATTGTAATTCATTCCAACCTAGCTAGAATTATTTTAACATAAATTTTGATAATAATTACTCTTATAAATAACATTTTTTAAAATTTAAAATGTCAAGAAAAAATACAATTCTGGTTCCAAGAGACACGGCTCTCCCAAAGGGTAATTCAATTCAACATCCCCCTAAAGGAGTAGTTATGAAGACTCTCTTTGGCAGCAGAATGCCTTATTAAGGCTTTCTTGGACTACGGGGGAATGGAGGACCCCATTTTTAAAATGTTATT